TCGCTCTTTCAACTGTAACCACAATGAGAGCTGCTAGAAGAGGTGTGAAAAAAAAAAAAAGACTGCATACCTGTTTTTTTTTTTTTTTTTTTTTTTTTCATGTAAATGCGAAAGGATACATCGACCCATTGAACACAATGTTTACTGATGTTTTGGCACCCGATATGGGAGGGAGGCTTGTTCACAATAAAAGCAATAAGAAAGGCACAGCGTACTTAAGTACGCCTAAATACGTGACATAAGCAGTCAGAGTACATTGTCAAAAGTGTCCCGTCATTCCTGTTCAGCATATGTACAGTCGTCCATATCTGGATTCCAGGTGCAGGCATGATGCAAGCTTCTTTTAAATGTGAAGCATTTTATAGTCCCACCTACTTTCAAATCTGGCATCGGCGTGGTCGTCGACACCCCGACTGCGCATGCTCACGTCTCGTGCCAACTGTACCCATCTCGTGCCCCTGCGCCATAAGACACCACACATCATAGACCCTGTACTCCTGTTTTCTGCTGAAAACTGCAAATTATTGAGTGACCTTGTCATGGCCTCTTTAATTTAAAGCATGTGGGTTCATCCGAGTTAGCAGCATCTCAAGATATTGTAAGATGCATTTAGTGCCTCTTGGTCTTATCACGGCTTTTAACCTGTTACATGAGCACTGTTTATGTCGCAGACAGTAAAGTTTGTGGAACGTATGCAATAGAATCAAGACTGCCACATTGCATGGGCCTTTGTCCGTCTACTCCTTTTTTTATTTGTTGGAATTCTCCACCCAGTGGGAGATCGGCCCTTCATGTGCGCAACTGGCCAAGTCAACCTGATGGCGAGGAACCTCAATTTGTATGTGTGTGTGTGTGTGTTAGCTGCCAGTCCTCCTGGTAAAATCCGAAGGAGAAACGCAACTTGAGTGTGCGACATCGTGGCGGCTGAGTCGCGCAGTACCCTCCTCTCCCTGTTGAAGACAAGCATTTCCTGCGTGTACTGCTGCAAAAGTCTCACGCTCTCGTTTTATGTATGCTTGCAAATGCGATTGTCTTTTTGCAACTTCTAGCAAAGTGGCATTGCTCATTGCAGTTGTAGCATACTGCGGATCTTTGCGCATCAAATGTGCAGTTCACGTTAGCAGACGCTTTTGAAGTACCCCCTGTTTTCGACTTATTCTCACGCCTTTCATTCGGAGGCTCTTGCGCATGCCTTTCGAAAGTTGTTTCTTGGAGACAACCTCTTTCTTTCAAACTGCTTAGACGCGAATCTCTTTTGATTTTTCTCAGGCTGGGCTGCCTTTCCGCACAAATTTCTACGCAGTTCATAGTCATCGGCAAGCTCAGCCGCTTTGCTCAAATATATTTCTCTGAGCCTATCTTGGAGCCACAACTTTGTTTCTTCTGAAATGCCACTGTAATACTGTTCTATGGCAATGCATTCTATTGCTTTATCGTGGTCTCCATAGACATCCGCACTCTTCAGCCACATTCTTCAAGGTTAGCTTTTATCTGATAGGCGAAGTCCTGGTGTGATTTGCTAGCCTTATGTGCATGCCTGAAACGCTGTCGGAATGCCTGTGTTGACAAGTGATATTTATATTTGCACAACAATGCCCCTTTAACCTTGTCATACACTTCTGCGTCCTCTCTACTAAGTTTGGCTATCACGTCGGTGGCCTCTCAGGGAAGAAGTGCTAGCAATTTTTATGGCCAATCCTCGAAAGAGAATCCCATTTTCTCACATTGCCTCAAAATGAACAAGATAAAGTGCAATGTCTCTGCCAACCTTGAATGGCTGCACAAGGTCTGTTATCTTGTTTGTGTTTCCTGATCCCCTCACTATGGGAGCATGGTTCCCAGCTGATACCCTAACTTCCAGCTCTCTTGGTTTCAGCTCATGTTCCCTCTTGGCAGCTTTTTCTTGCTCTCTTCTTTCCCTTTCCTCCTGAGCTTCCCGCTCTCTTTTTCCCTTTCCTCCAGAGCTTCTCGCTCTCTTTTTCCCTTTCCTCCAGAGCTTCTCACTCTCTTTTTCCCCTTTCCTCAAGAGCTTCTTGCTCTCTTTTTGCCTGAGCTTCTCGCTCTTGCTCTTTAGCTCGAATCTCCTCCTGAGCTAGCTCCTCTCACTCTCTTTCCCTTCTATCTCGAATGTCCTCAAGAGATTCCTGGGCTTCCTCCACAGTCACTTTCTCTGTCTCCATAAATGCTATGATCTGCCGTTTCCGCTTAGCAGAACCAACCGCAAGCCCCAACTCCTTGCAAATTTAGAGAAGGTCCGGCACTTTGAACTTGTTCATATTGACACTTCACTTTGCCTCGTTTACGCTCTATTGAAACTGTGCGGTTGAATCATTCAATTCTTGGCCGACCCACAAAGTTACAGTTCCAAAACCTACTAACAAAGAGCGCTAGCTAGGTCTGGCACTTACTTGGTTCCGAGGCCTAGCGAAGGCACTTATGAGCACTTCACTACGCCTTGTGTACCCCCTACAGAAACTGTGCGGTCGAATCATTCAATTCTTGGCCGGCCCACAAAGTTACAATACCAAAACCTACACACAAAAAGTGCTATTGGTCGGGCATTACGAGAGGTAAACTTCAAGCACTCACCACACCAGGGTAGCTGACATTGGCCGATCTCACCGAGCTGCCATTCACTGTTAGGAATGAGGTGTCAGGATATGCCACCATGTCTGTGACTGTGGCGACTTTGGGTAGTGTGTTCCTGGCTGGAGCCATCCTAGTCTCAGGAGAAGACGAGTTGAGGAGCCGGAGTAGATAAAAAGAAGCATTTATGTACAATATTTACATGTTTAGAATAGCATGGAACAACATGAAACAGATGAAGCACACCGCGTTCACATTTTCCCAAGATTCACTGTGAGAGAAGACAATCGAGCTCAGGTCCCTCCAATAGGATTGTGCTCCTCCACTTCGCCCCCGAGCAGGCAGTCAAACCCGTTTCTAGAAAAGTGCTAGGGCACGCACACCTGGTTGCTCAGGGAAGAGCAATACAGCACCACTGGCTCAGTTCAATGACCTGGAACTCTTCGTGTAGACTCCTCCGGCTGGCAAGATTTCAGGTTGACTCGTCTGGCACTGCTAGCTCCTTGCAGACCCCGAACACAATGCACTAAGGCACGATCGCTGGCCCAGGAATGTGGAAAGCGTTCTCGCGGAACAAGTCCAGATGCGAGGTCTATAGTCCTTTGTACAACCCAGAGGAGGCGGCAGGTCCAGCTGTAATCGACCCTCGGGTAGTCTGGTGTCTAAAGGGTATTAGATCCGTGGGCCCAGCATTCTCGCCGCACCACCACTGTAGTTGAAGCTGCCCTGGAATGTCTCTCCACACAGGACGATGATTTTCGGCAGAAACCGGTAAGGCCGCCGCACAACAGGACACATCTTCACTGCTAGTGGAGACAGGGTACGCGAGTGTGTCACCTGTCATTTTAATTGTAGGCGTTCTATAGTAGATCGAAATTTTGGCTGGAGGATGTGTAATGTATCACCCTGGCTGATATCGTGGCACCCATGTCATTTCATTCTTTCCTGCATGTGGCACTGGTGACACTGGGATAGCATACTTTCATTAAACCAGCGATGACGGCACGTATATGTCAGACACCGTCACGTAGCTACAATCTAATTAGACGAAAGTTGTCATTTGTACTTATAAAATTATAGAATATATCATAATGCATATTGCATTGTTGCCAGACATAATCATTGGGAAATGTCTGAGTTAGCCAATAAATTGTGGAGTAATGCAAATATGGACCTGAAAAAGTAGCATTGTTGTCTCAGCATGCAATATTTTTTTTCATATGAATGTTTGTACTATAGACTCACAATAATTCACTTTGTTTCAAGCCAGACAAATTTAAAATTTTGGCTGGCCTGCTGTATTTTCCGTTTGCAGTAAAACATCGATGATATGAATATAGTGTGGTCACAAAAGACATCCGTATCATCCGAAATTCATATCGCTGAGAAACGTGGAAAACTAGTATGTGGCAAAAAAAAAAGGGGGCTAGTGTATGTCTGCCTTTGTTTTTTCTCGGGGCTGCAGCAATGCTGTAACAGCTCTGAATGATTGACGGTAAAGTTTTTAGTTGTCAACAATCGTAGTTGTGCTGAGTGTTGCCAGATGCTACTGAGCAAACAAGTATACTCATCATGAAAAATGCCCAAAAGAAATGAAACCATAATGAATTTTGCCATTCTTGAGAATATTTTAAAATATTGTTTTAGAAAGATGTCTCACAAATACAAAGGGGAGTTCAAAGAATCACCTAATTCTTTTGTACAGCAAAAATATGTGCAACTATGAATGAAAGAGCATAGGTACTTAACATTGTCTTCAGGGTAGCCTCCATTCGGTTGAAGGAACTTTTGCCAACCCATGATTCACGTTCTCTGTGCTTGACCTCATCACTCAACCATAGGCATGCACACGGTGGTGGGTTAGTGGGAGAAGCCCCGTCCCCTATCGTCACCTAAAGGGGAGTGTAAAATCGGTCCCATACTTCGACTTAGTACTGACTGGAGCACTGCGATGAACCTTCACCTAAGTTCTCTTGATATAGAAAGTAGTGACACTGTCCTCTGCTTCGGTGCTTTTCTCTTCTATATCCTCTTCCAACAGCAGAGCCTCCTTTCCCAAGGGGTTGTGCCTCCGTTATATGCTCTCCCAAACAGCCGTGTGTGAGTGCTGTCACATGCAATGACTGGGGCCTGCATGGGTCCCTATTATACCCTGCAAGCTACAGAACCAAAGTGCTGCTGTGCAAAAAAAAAAAAAAAAAAAAAAAAACTTAAGTTTACTGATAATTTTTTCATTTGCCTTACTGAAATAAATACTGCATTATTTATTATGAGGCTAAAACAGTTGTGGAAGGTTCTGGGTAAAAAGATGTTATTACCTTGTAAGAATACTAAATAGTTTACTTTGTAACAATACTGTCCTTTTCTTTCCATTTGTTAGCGCTGTTGACCTTTTTTTATCATTCTCTTTACAGAATTATTTTGACAATGCACCACTGATGAGTGTTCCGGGTCGGACACACCCTGTGGAAATATTCTACACACCAGAACCTGAACGAGACTACCTTGAAGCAGCCATTAGGACTGTCATCCAGATTCATATGTGTGAAGAAATTGAAGGCGATATTTTGCTGTTCCTGACAGGCCAAGAGGTGCGTCACTTTCTGATAATTCAAATGTATTACAGTTAAACCTGGATATAATGAAATTGATAAATTCCCGAAAAATTTGTTATACATGGGATTTTGTTATATGCAGATTTGGTACGAAAATTTGGAAAATTAATGCGCAAATTGATTTTCAAGCAGCATTTCTGTCAAAGGTTTCCTTAAGCTTCTGGCTTCTGGCGTTTCACCTTAAGTCCACTTTCATAGAGTGGAAAGGGAGCATCAATGTACAGAAATCGGGGGTGTGCATTGGGTCAAAAGTTGCTCCGGTTCTCAGCTATATCGTCTTGGCCAAGGTTGACAGGGCTATTGAAGCTAACTTGAATGGGCTCGGGAGAAAGGTTTACAGGTATGTAGACTATATCATTTTCATTGATAGGAGCAACCTCACGAACACCGTGATTAACATTTTGAAAGCTCTCAGGGAGAACGCTCTAGGTTTAGATTTTACGTGTGAAATGCCGTTGCAAGGTGCGTTGCAATTCTTAGACCTAAGCTTATTATTTATTGACAAGCAAGTGTGCTGGCAATACCACTCTCTTAGTTCCAAGCCCTTGCTTGCCTTTGGTTCTGCACATTCGAAAATCATAAAAAATGGTATCGCCTTTTCCACTTTGAAGTCTGCGATAACCAAGTCATGGTGATCACAAAATTGCCGCGAGTGTACAATCGCGAACCCTGAGGCTAAAGGAAGCTAATTATTTAGAAAGTGTTGTTTTGCTCGCTTGCCATAAGCTTATGCGCAGTTTGATGAGTGACTTTAAAGGTAACACAACATCAGCCAAAGAAAAGGAAAAGAAAAAATTCGTTATGTTACCTCACGTTCACCAACTCTCGCATAGGCTTAAGAAGTGGGTGCATTTCATGGCATTGAAGTGGTTTTTGCTGCCAAGAATTATGTCGGCAATGTTTGCGCGGCAGTGCGAAAATGTGTCAAAAACGCCCCGCCCCATTGACGAGAAATGCATGCTCCATTAAGCACAAAAATATATTTGTAGAGTGTGTCGTTGGAGTGGTGTACAGTGTACTCTTCTCGTGCGGATGCGTTTATATTGGCCAGACGGGGCAGTGTGTCAACTATAGACTGAGGGAGCACCAAATTCTCTTCGGGGTATCGCACCTTCGGCTCACTTGGCCATGCACTGCCGGGACTGCGGATGCACTCCAGATTTTTCGACTTCGAGGGTTCTTTTCCGTCATCGTGACCAGCTGACAAGAGAAATGTTTCAAGCTTACATAATTCAAAAGGCAGGCAAAAAATGCATTAGTGAACCATCAATCGCTCTCCTTGATAACGAAATATCATTTTTAGATTATTGCCACTAACGTTGTTAGGGCAAGATGCCTCGTGTCTAGGCAGCGTTTTTTTAGTTCGTTTAGTTTCCTTGCCATGCAAGAGCATGTGTGAATAATTGTATATATTTGATGTTTCTTCATTACATTTTTCTGTTGAAAGTCAGTGCTTGTCTTGTGTATTTCTATTTCTTTGTCTTTGTTTTCCGCACTATTTACCTCTTAAAATGAATCGTTACCAACTTGCCCAGTCTTCAATACTACTCAGCACAAATTAAACAAAAGGGGGACTGAAAGCAGAGCTAACCCAAAACACCTATTTTACAGTAAAATACTGCGTTATTATTGCGATAGCAATTAGATGGACACTATCGGTAGGCTTTTGCCGTCGCCGCCATGTTCCGTAACAAACCCAAATTGATAATGTGCCCCTGCGCATCGTAACTTTCAAGAGCGGGTAAAAGCGCGTGAGCACTGTTGAAGCAGAGATCAAATGAGTCGGCCCATTCCTATCGCCTGGAAAGTGTGCAAAATAACATCTTCTTCTGCTTGTTAGAACTGCTGACGAATGCTCAAACGGAAAGCAAACTGCTCGTCTTGAACGAAAACAATGCGAAGGAGGTCAGGGGGGGGGGGGACTGTTTGAGTAGCTTTAATGAACTTAGATTTTCATGGCGGTCGTGATCGCTGGCACACTTGCTATCTCGGCGAGTATCAGTACAGTTTCAACGTGAAGGGACTGTGTGAAAAGAGCACGTCTCCCTGGAGCGGCCGTATTTGCTCACACCAGCATTTTGTAAGAGTTCCGCGATATCGTACCCAAAAGAGTTGGCTGCCAGCCTTCTTACAACATAACAATTTTTTGATATCGTGTTCATTGCATTGCAATAAACGTGCCATACTGTTATTGTCAGATTTAATTGGCTAATTTCCAAAGCTACGAGCCTGCGAAGTCGCTGCGCAAGACGGAAGCACGTGACGAGTCGACCTCCGAAGATCCGTCGTCACAGTGGTCATGGAGAGTTTCCATCAGCACCTAATCTGACATCCCCTTGGTGATGACGACTTGGTTGTCCGAAATTAAGAAAAGTCAGTTTCGCCACTAGGGCAAAGCAATGTATGCGATGGCAAAACTTGGAATGTAATGCTGAGAAGGGCAAGCAGATGGAAACACGCAGCACACTGCTCACTTACAACTGATGCGTGAAAACAACAAACACAGGACGAGAGGGAACTAACATTGTTTACCGCTGAACACTTAATGCGCTGTTTAAACAAAAACGAGGCACGAAACGTAATCACAGGTACAGATTTGAGTGCGAACTAACAATTGCACCAGTTGTTACTTCGCTGTGATTGAAAAGCGCACTCTTTCGCAAACGCCGTTGGTCCAGCAAGCGAAATGATCTTTGTGCGCCCGGCAACTAAACGCGGTCGTTCCGGTCAAAGTCAAAGGCCCACGATTCTGTCTAGTGATGGATAAGCGCTCATGTCGGCGCATCATGAGGAGCTGGGCGCCAAGTGCGAGTGACTTTCTTTTTTCTTTCTTGAGATTTCATTAATACGTATAACGGGGAATGACGGCCGCAGCGGCGGCGATGGCAAAAAACGAGCAGAGACTGTTCATGTAAGTGCTATCGCAATAAAAACAAAAAAGCAAGGTTGGAACGTCGTCGAGCGCCACACCATGCGCACGCAGTGAAACTATGCATGCGTGCATGGCTTCGAAAACGAAAAGCGAACGACGCAGACACGGACACCGCGGAAAACAATTTGTTAAAGCGCCCTGCATATGCAGTGCGGCCCCACGTCTGGGAGGCTAACTAAAAGTGTGGCACTGTGAACGCGCAAAAGTAGTTTTTTGTGGGGAGCGGGGGGGGGCACCTGCACATGCGCCTATAGTGGCGAGAACGCCGGCAACGCCGGCTTGTGGGTTGCAAGCCCTCCTGCCCGCCTCGCATTCACCTGCGTTCTCACTCTTGCCAGGTGCGCCGTGTGCTTCGTCGGCGGCGGGGCAGCCGCGGAAGATGCATGCTCGTACCTAAATACTAAAATGCGGAACAAAATTCCTAGATTGTCCGTGGGGAAAATTCGTTATATCAAAGTTCTCTCCCCCTGCTACTTTGTTAAAAAGAGGTTGCAGATACACATGCTTCTATGGAATAATGGCGGGGAATAGAAAAACTCTGTTATATCAAAGAATTCATTATATGGAGATTTGTTATAAACAGGTTTAACTAAACAGGTGCACGTTGCCGTGTTATAATTGTTTCGATTTTACTCAGCAGTATGGGGCAGGCTAGTTCCGCTGATACATTCCCAGTGTACTCCACAACATGATTACCAAAGTCTTCAACCACCAGCAGTGGTTATTCACAAAATTGAATCATAATTTTTAATAGATGAGTGAGTGCGGTTATACTAAGAGCAGGGACGCTATGTGGGTGGCCCCTGTACAGCAGCATAGCTTGGCCCGATAATTAAGCGTTTCTGCAGGTTTTTTTCATCCACTTCTGTTGATCGCCTTGGAATAGATTCATTCATATTTGTGCAAATGGGAAAGCATATCGCCTTATGGAGCCACCTATTTGTCAATAAAAGCTCTTGCTCCTGTGCAGCCTCTGCAACTCGCTGGACGGTCCAAAGTTGGTCTGAAAGTGACCAGAGAAGCACCAAGGCACATCTCACATTAATATTATGATTTGACATGTTCACCTGCTCTAAGCAGCAGAACGTCGTACTGTCAAAACTTTGGTTAAGATGCCTAACAATGTTATCGCAATGAGGGACGAACATTTAATGCAAACTACCATCAAAAACTTTTTTACCCTTAGCTCAAAAAGAAAATCGTATGAGAGATGGGGAGCACCCTTGAGCAATGATGTAATAACTTTGTGCTGCATTTCAGTCAGTTGCAACATTTGAACCATTGGCAGGACCAACCACCTGTCAGACAGGCTTGGCTGGAGGCTTGGCTAGGCCAGAAGCTACCAATGTTGCCAGCTGCAACTTGAAATGAACGTTGCTTTTGTGCAGGAAGGGCTGTGATCAAGTTAACCTTTGTCAACGCAGAAAAAGCACGCTTGATGCACCCAGATTCGAAGAAAAAGGCCACTAATTTTTTGCACTGTCTGTTGCCGATAGTCCGTTTGAAAGCAAACTTCTCTCCCTTCATTTAAGTCACAGACCACACTTCTGAATAATGGTCTATTGTATCCAAAAGCCTGTTAGACGTGCACCAGTGAGCATAGATAACTGTAGACTTAGGAAGTGAAAAAGCAATTCTGACGCTCTCTTTAAAGCAGGAGACAGGCCATGTGCCCGCTCTAGTTTAATCGCAACAAAGATATCCTACATGTTCTTGTAAGATCCAAAGGTACATTACGTGTGTCGCTTATCACTTGTACAGCTAATTTCATTGTCAAGCGAAGCCAAGCTTCATGCAAGGGCACATGGCCTCTCAGCCAGGTCAGAACTTGCTTCTCAACGTATATATGGGAACGGTTCCACAATAACAGTGTAACAGCAGTCAGATTCTCAGTAGTATTGCTAATTCCGTGGGAGCCATGCCAAAAATGGCCGAAAATAACATAATAGCTGAGAAAGTGCATTGCTGAGGTATATAATAATTTTGTTATGTTTGTTATTTCAGGGAAAGGCTGCACTTCACTAAGCTTGCTAGTCTTTTCTTTTGAGCTGGTTATGCATGTTTTCTGGTCGTTTCAGGAAATCGAGGAAGCATGTAAAAGGCTGAAGAGGGAAATTGACAACTTGGGACCAGATGTGGGAGAAATGAAGTGCATTCCGCTCTACTCATCATTGCCACCAAATCTGCAGCAACGTATCTTTGAGCCACCGCCGCCTGCCAAGGCTAATGGAGCCATTGGGCGAAAAGTGGTTGTCTCAACAAATATTGCTGAAACATCTTTGACCATTGATGGTGTGGTTTTCGTGATTGACCCTGGATTTGCCAAGCAAAAGGTACCTAACTATTTATGATATTTCTCTTTGATGTGTCATTCATAGTGCTTAAGCTGCACCCTGGACTGGGTTATTGAACAACCATGAGGTTCAAACATTTTAATGAAGAGAAATGTGTGCACTTTTGCTATGTGCACATGCTTCTCTGCAAGAATTTTTGCGAATACATGCTGTAGTAAAGAAGTTACAGGGGTTAAAACATCCGTTTTAGCCGGTTTCAAATTTCTACGCTGCTGCTTGCCACCTTTCTCTGCCATAGAGAGGGGAAGGAGTAGCCCGTCGCCTTGACTCTGCTCACTTCGGCAATGTAACACGCCGTCCGTGATACGTCGTAGCCATGTAACCAACGACCGAGTGGGGCTTTCCCCACATGTGACGAGAAGGGAGGAGCGCCTCCACGCGGAGATAAGCAGATCGGCATTTTAGAGAATACCAACATTCCACGGCAGCTTTTTTTTTATTATTATTTGCTCTCTTCGCACCCATCTTTGAAAGGGGGAGGGTTACGTGGCAGGGACGGAAAACAGGGAAGCGTGGCATCGGCGCGCGAGACCCCCCCGTTACAGAACATGGTGGCGATGGCAACAACTCACCGGCAGTGTCCATAAATTGCTATCGCATTAATGATAACCCAGTTTTTTTTACTGCCGAATGAGTGTTTTAGATTAGCTCTGCCTTCAGTTTCCCTATTGTTTAAAATGTGCGCTTATTTTTCAAATTTTTGTACCAGACATGCATATAACGAAATCCTCTTAATTAACTTTTTAAGAATTTATCAATTTAATTATATCTAGATTTAACTGTATTACGATTACAGTAGACACGTTAAGCATAACCTACGGGACCGCAAAAATGTGGTCTAGTTACAGAGAGAGGTCGGAGTGAGAAAGCCAAATCAAAACCACTCATATTAATGTCAATATTTCTGTTTGAGCAGCAGTTCCTTTAAAAATATTTTCAATCACCATACCTGCCAAGTCTCGGGATTGGCTGGGAGACTCCTGTATTTCGACCGTTTCTTCCATTTGTATGGTTGTTATGAAAATCTCCCAGAAATCGAAATTTCTGTGCGTGATCTGGCTGCATTGACAAGAAAGCAGCTCAATCCGCTCCAGGCTTGTACCTACCCCTTATTATTTTAAATATATTTAAGAAGCGTTCATCTAGACAGAGAATCTCACTGATGCGAAACCGCGGCAGATACGAATTAGTGAAATTTTCTAGCCAAATTCTGGGCCTAAATTTGAATGTTCCGAACACATTTTCTAATCGCGGCGGGTGATACGAACTTTAGTACGAAAACTGTTGAACAAAGGCTGAGAGCACCATACTCGAAGCTTCGGAAGTATGCGTGCGACTGGCGCACGCACTGTTTTCTACAGTGCATATGATTGTCGTTGCCACAACGGCTGTGGACGAAATCACGGTTGTTCTTGACACGATCATGTATGGCGAGGACGTAACTGACAGAACCCCGAAAATGTGCACACTCCAACACTCAACCAGTCAAAGCAACGCTGCTTTCCGCAAATTCTGCGGACAAAACCGTAGCAGATGCAGTCGTAGATGGCATAAGACGATGAAGGTGCATGCGCAGCCAAGCGCACGGGGATGGAAAAAAAAAGCTACAGTAGAGCCCCTTTATAAGAGACACTGATATGAGACAAAGGGGCATGAGACACCAGTGTGCCTACAGTAAAATACACGTTAATGGGAAAATGCATACATGGTATCCTGCTTATAAAAGACATTTCATATAAAAGATAAGAATTGCTGTGTGGAGCATGCCTCTTTTAAAGGGGTTTAACTGCATAGTTTGCTGCAACTGTCGTGCACAAATCTGCGGTCGCGGCGACGCGATAGCGATCTACGAGCTCCAAGGACACGCGGCTAACGTAGCTGTAGATTTAAGGCAGTAAATACATAAAAAAAAGGGCCAGACGCGTTGTGGCGTTCCTGTCGAAAGAATACAGGAGTGAGCAAAGCTTTGACCCGCGCTTTTGCGGCAGCCAGCTGTGCCGTTCCGTCCGTTCACGTGTGCCTTAGTAAGACATACACGAGCTGTTTTGAAGGAAATAAATTCTGCTAGTTGTGTTGACCCTATGAGACTCTCACCTTAGTGGGAAACCTTACCTTCATGTGTAGAGAAGCCAAAAGCATTCCAGTTGCTTTAAATTTGGAACAGAGTCCAAAGTGGGCGGACGTTTCCTGTTACCTGGCTCTGATAAAGCCATGGAATGAAAAGAGTGTTCTTTGTATGGCTCCATGTAAGCTCTTGGACATTTGTCACACCCTTGTTTTCGTTATACTTCCCATACCAAACAGCTCCAAAAAGGGGACAGAAAACTTGGAGGGCTATGCTGGTAGAGACTTTCTTACTTTTCAATCCCAAGTGAATTCTCGCTGCACAATGCCTTGATGGAAGCGTCCTACGTCATGATCCACATGCATCGGCACAAGAGCCACAGCAGAGGGGAGGGGGGAAAATATCATTTCACGCTTTGCCGACACTGATGGCAGTACAAAGTAACGAATTATGTCCGGTTTGTGGGATGTCTTTCTTGACCAACAGAGTTTCAGACACTGCATGGGTGTTCCAGGCAAGCTTTGTTTGATGTGCTTAGTATGACAGCATTCAAGTAGGCTTTCGTTTCAGACAAAACTAATCCAAAATGTTGTTAGTTTGCAGCCTGGGTTAGGCCTGTTGAGTGAGTTGAGCGAAGACAGTGCATTGTGCACTATGGGGGGGTGCTATTCTCGTGGTGTCCATGGAGTGGATATTTCCACTTCGGCCTCAACTAATTGGCTGGAGCTCGGCAAGCAGCGCGGCACCCGTTTTCGGTCTTTCTTCCGCAACATGATTTTGACGGCATGCAGCTTTCACAACTCTCCTGCACAAATGAGAGACTGAGTGCGTTTAGCCTCTATAAATGCTTCCTCCAGAGCTCTTGGACGCACATCTCTGAGGTCACGCATCAACTCTAATCATGTTAACCATTCCATTTTGTGTAATGTGGTCACCTGTCTGACACACGTGGAAGGTCTGCGTGCATATTCTGCATCATTCTTCAAGCATCTCTGCATGTTAATACGCAAGTTCAGACCTGTCTAGTTTGTTTATAGGGCCAGTAAACAGGCTCCGACATTTCTTTACACCCTCCCATACAAGCTCGGCAATTCGTAGATTAGACTGCAGTGACCACGTTTTCTGAATATTACAGCGCCGCGCACCGTGCAGAGCCTCTATTTCAAAAAACTATTCCCACGCATCTTTCTTACGCCTGACCGAACCCCTTGCACGCGCAGTGACGTCAACTCGGCGACGTGACGTAGCACGCAGCTCACCAATTGATCTGCATCAGGGGTGAAAAAACAGTAGTGTAGTCAACGTCAGTTCCTGTTCCCACCCACAGCTACGAAACTGCTCCTTGTTTTTTTTGTCACTGCTTGAAAGAACCAGCCTCGCTATTGTCGCGTGCACGTGTACACTCCTCGTTCAACTACAGCGCCTGTGCGCACGTACAAACTTACTTCGCCCTTGACATGAGCAACACGGGTAAAAAGCATTGCTCTGTCGTTGGCTGCAAATCGAGCGACTTGGCAGCGGAGAAGCATTGGCACCGGGTGCCTCACTACAGGGCCCTGCGCGCTGCATGGCTGAAGCGAATCGGCAATCCAGCGACGTACGTCGGGGACCTTATCGTTTGTGGCCGACACTTTGCACCTGACTCTTACACGGTTGACCCGCAGCTGGTGCGGCAAACGGTAAACAAACAACCACGCTTCGCAGCAAGCGGAAGTGCGTTACGACTGATCGAGTTCGCAGATGACGTCAATCGCTGATGTGTCACGTTGCCGAAGTGGGCAGAGTCACGATGATGGGCTATGCCCTCCCCTTCGTGAAAGGGAGAAGGGGGGCGAGGCATCGCGAAAATTTGAAACCAGCTTAATACGATGTTCTAACCGCTTTAAGGGGGCAGACTGCTCTTAGACATTTTTTGTTTATTTCTTCAGTGATCGTGATCAAACTGCTCAGAATTATGCAGTTTTTTTTTTTGCTGATTTCAAATTTTTAATTAGTTTTACTGTAACTCATCTTATTCCTGAAATAACTTAAGTTCATCCCCTATTGTTTAAGGCCGTCATACAAAAAAAGTGCTCAATTAAAGGTGATATTTAAAATATCCCAATATAGACTAATGACTATAGATTGAAATAATGCAAGAGTTTTTTGGTTTTCAGTCTTTCTTAATTATTTTACAGCAAAATGAACTATCCATTTTCAGAAGCAGTTGGAATTGTGTTAAAATTTTGATGAGTAATTAAAAAGGCTTGTTCTTTAAATTCTGCTCCCATACTTGCACCCTGCACACATACAGGTTTCCATTGCAAAAAGAATTATTGTTGTACCTGCCCTAGCTGCAGAGATGTTGAGGCCTCAAAATTGAACAGTTGTAAATTTACTTTTTTGAAAAAAAATGAAAAAAACTGAAAACACACAGCTTCTTCAAAAAGCAACGATCATGGTGTGCATGTTTTGCAATCCTCATAAAAGTGCTCATAAATTCGTATCAGAGCTTTTAACACATGTGCCAGCAAATTATAAAGAGGCCTCGAAGTTGGTTTCCCATTTTTTGCAGATTCTGCATGTTAACAGCACCGAGTATCTGGACAGTTAGAATGACATTACAAAAAAATTACCACTTCCTGGTGTGTGAAAATTTGCAGAGAGATAGCGAAATACTTGCTGATACCAAATATGTCAATTTTAAAAAATGGTTTTTTTTTTTGTCACTTTTTGGTCCCAAAGAGCAGTCTGCCCCCTTAACTTCATTAATATAGCACGTATTCGCAAAATTCTTGTGGCAGCATGTTTGCAAAAAAAAAACTGCATGTATATCTCTTTTAAAAAATTTTTGAACATCAGGGCTAATTACTGGCCCTTAAAGAGTACTCTTACTGTACATTTCGTGCACCTTCTTTCTCTTTTACACTGGGATTGTGCTAGCATGTTCAGTGCGTCGATGTGGTCAAGAGTGCCATGATGTCGCAACTTTCTCTCTTTTTTTGCCCGTAACCGAATGTGCTACACCGAGATGGACACCACGAGAATTGCGCCCTAGAAAGCAGTTTTCGCTCGGCAATATTAGAAAAACGGTGGTGACATGTCACGCTGAAAGCAGGAAGCACTGAATAGCTGCAATTGGTGCCGTAACACCCTAATTATCTCAATTTGGAAATTCGGTTCTGTGTAGCTTACGTCTGCTTCAACCAAGGCTGCTGGCATCTAATTTGAGCATGCAGCAAAGGATATCTCTTGGCGTGATACGGAGGTCATAAACCTTAAAGTAATGTTGTGTCACAATGCTGTAATGACAGACATTAACATGCTGCATTGGCTTTTTATTACAAGAAGCAAAAGGACCAGCCTTACTTCTTGCAGTAGAAAAATGCTTTGTTGTTTCTATGAATGCTTCCTTCACCCGAACACCAACATTCTCTTGTTACTGTACGATAAGTTTCTTTTTTTTTTTACAATATGTGTATGAGGTTTTAGTGTGTTTGCCTCAGTTGGTAGCATTGTTTAACTGTCTTGTCAGTGTGCCATCAATTAGGGTGAATCTCATGTGGTCTTGTAGAGGAACGCCTGTAGTGAACTTGTGCAATGTTTTTCAGGTGTACAATCCTCGCATCCGTGTTGAGTCTCTCCTGGTATCGCCCATTAGCAAGGCCAGCTCACAGCAGCGAGCAGGCCGTGCTGGCCGCACAAGGCCAGGCAAATGCTTTAGACTCTACACAGAAAAAGCGTACAAGACAGAGATGCAGGACCAAACGTATCCTGAAATTCTTCGTTCAAACCTTGGTTCAGTTGTTCTCCAATTGAAGAAGTTGGGCATTGATGACTTAGTGCACTTTGATTTCATGGATCCTCCAGGTAATGTACCTTTCTGGTGCTTTTGGTGTGATGTTAATTGTTGGTAATTCCATCAAAGACGTTTTTGGGGCTGCTATTTCATGCTGCATGCACTCGGCAAGTCGTGCTGCACTCAGCCTGTCCAAAAAGTTCATGAACTAGTGCTCATAGCAGCATTAATCTTCAAAATGACATCTTATTTCTATTTGTGACCAGTGCAATGATGCAATGAACAAGAAGTGAACTGCAAGTTACTGTATTTTATTTCACACGTTGATACAGTCTAACACGGATGTATTTAACTCTAAGGGGATTGCGAATTAGTTCGATATATTAAAAATTAGATATAAAAAAATAGAGGCCCCGGGAGCTTACAATATGCGCATTCAAGAATTACAACTCATTCCGCACACATGCCGCGACAAAATGATTTACTTGCATGAAAAAAGCAAATCGCTATCCTTGGCCTACTTCTTCGTTTTTAAAATGTTGAAGACTCTAGACGCTAGTCTCGATCTTATCACAACTCTCGAAAGGCGTCGTCTATATGCTCGTTATCGTCGTCTTCGCCGGTTTCTGCTAGTTCCACCGTCTCGAAGCCTGCCTTGCGGAAGCAGTTGACCACTGTGTCCGTCTTCACGTCTCAGCAGGCATTGAAGATCTTTGCGAAGATTTCTGGCCACTCGTTCTTCATCCACTGCTGGATGTCCTGGCTGCTGACAGCTTCGCTATCGCCAGAAATGGTTTTGCCAACGATGTTTGCCAATGAGGGGGGGGGGGGGGGGGGGGGCAAGTGCTGAAGTGCACCTTCCAGCTCGCGCGGCGTTTGATATATCCGAAGGCAGGTAAGAATACCGTTTGATATAAATGTGCGAATTTTTACTTTTACAAAAGAATTTCAAGGGGATAACTCGAGAGTTCGATATACCCAAAAATTTGTATATGTGGGTTCGATATAACCGTGTTCGACTGTAGTCTGTAAACTTGATTGATATGTGGGGGTTTCCAAATCCACCATATGAGTATAAGAAACGCCGTAGTGGAGGGCTCCGGAAATTTCGACCACCTGGGGTTGTACAGTGGAACTCCGCTACAACGAACACCGCTTCAATTAAATTTCCGCTACAACGAAAAATTCGTGATTCCTGTCAGCAGTCCATAGGAGTCGATGCATAAATATTGTCGCCATAACGAAAACTTTCTTCGATCTTCCCGCTTCAACGAAATTTTACGCTGCAATTCCAGGCTCAGTACTTATTGCTATGCAGTACACCCAATCTTTAACATTTCGATGCATGTTTAGAGTATGAAATACTCTGAAATACGCGTTGGCACCACCAGAAACCGCCGCTGTTCAACAACCATGGGCACTGCCATTTCACGATAGCGATGGCAATGAGACTGCCCTGCTTTTGCCACTGGCTTATTTTGAGCCACAGACGATCCGAAGCTGAAGCTCAGTCGCTCAGTTCATGGTTTCCTTCACGCAGCTGCTGGATGCAACCACGGAACAATGCCTTTTCAGATTCCGATGCTTATTATAATGTTCGCGCTTGGCTAGTGTGGTAACTAATCAGAGCGGCTGTTTGTCCACATTATCAACGAAATCAGCTAGCTGCGAGTGATGGATGATAAGAACAGCATAGAATAATGCAAAATTCGCCGCTCCACGATACCCTGCTTTCATCTCGCCGTTGTCAGGTACTTTTGACGGTGGACAACTGCTGGTGTTAACGTGTTAATGCAACTGTTTAGTTCAAACACAAAGGCAGTTTTAGGCATGTTTCAGCGTGCTTTTCACCATGGCCTCGCTATGCATTGGTGAGAATGACGTGTGGTGCTGCTGGGAAAGAATAAGAAGCAGTGTACATTTTTTGAATCTTGAGTACAAGCGTTCCTTTGTTTTGCTAGCTCAGATCAGCTCTATATTTTTTTTTTTTTCATTTCGCTACAACCAAATGTTTTCCGCGCCCCGTCAGTTTAGTTGTAGCAGGGTTCGACTGTAGTCCGTAAACTTGTCTTGCTTCTTGCGCGCCATTAAGTCCGAGTCATCCTCAATACCACTGAAGCTTTTCAAATTAGCGAATTCAGGTCCTTTAGTCACAACAGCATTGTTTGATGCAGAATGCCGATGCAAGCTTTGAAGGGCAGCAAAAGGTTGGTTAGCGGCGGCAGCGAAGGCGTTGGCATATGCAAAACCGAACGAGTACACATCCGCGGCACCGGTAACGGCAGCCTTGATAGAAGCATCGATGCAGCCCAAAACAGCAACTTCTTCATCTGCCAATGTAGTTGCTCACTACCCACTGTCCTAGATGATGCCCGAAAACGCGTAGTCCCAGCATTCACAGAGGCACTGTATGTCGTTGTTGGCGTTCACGACTCACCAGAAGTCATCACCTGGCCCACAAGGAAAGTTTACAACGGTGCCTTACTTGACGTCACTCTCAGCACCAGTCATATTTTTTAGCGCTACATGGGAGTCAAAATTCAGTTCAACTCGCGAATGAGGATTTATCAGGAACGGGGCGAGAAGTACACTAGGTGCAAAAGAAAACGCCGAGTTCCATCATCGACATGTTGGTGATATCGCTGTTACCTTTAGATCTGTAGCAGGCAGCCGCTGCTTTCAGCTGCTTTGATGCGAAAAGCTAAAAAAAAAGCGTAGCCTCAGAGACATGCATTCTAAAACCGAAAACACAAAAATATGTTACAAGGTTGCAGATATCCAAGGCCATGCTTTTCAAGTTGGCATGCCATTGTGCGACAATAAATGAGGAAGGGAATGCGAACATCGCAACTAGATCGCCAAGTCACTTCGAATTCTGATTTTTGTGTCCTCGACAATGTCTTTTTTTTTTAAAAAAAAACACTATAGTCGAACACGGTTATATCGAACCCACTATATGGAATTTTCGGGTATATTGAACTAGCAAGTTATCCCCTTGAAATTCCTTTGTAAAAGTATAGAAATCCGCATGTTTATATCATACGGTATACCCACCTTTAGATATATCGAAGGCTGCGTGAGCTGAAGGTGCGCTGAAGGTAAAGGTGAGAAGGCTCAGACTGCACAATCTCTCACTTGTGGAACAGCTTTTCTTTTTTTTTTTTTCCGTTTCTATTTCTCTCTCTCTCTCATGCTTTCTCCGCAAACCCATCGGCTTGGAGAGCAGAAACGAAGGAGCCGACATCCTCCTCCTTTCGTTTTTTTTATTTTTTGTTGCTGTTTTGCAAGTTTTAATCACCCAACCACACACGGCGCGCGTCTTTTGCTGTTGCCCTCGCGGGTGGACATCGCCTCACGAGCGCTTAGTTGCTTCTGCTGTCGTGTCTCCTACGTACTACTGCATGTGCAGCATCTCTCTTTTGCGTGTGTGGTGTGCAAAGCCGCTGCGGACTCCTTGAATTGTCGACTTCTGGTGTAGCTCTGGCCAGCGTCAAGAAGCGCAAGACCTTTGGCTTTACAACGAAGTTGAAAGCTATTCAGCGTGTTGAGGTGGGCGAGAAACGTTTGACCGTCGCGGACGACTTTGGGATACCATGGAGCACTCTGAGTACCTTGTTGAAAAACAAGGCAGATATCAAGGTGAAGGTGGCAGAGCAGCGAATGTTGGGGGCCTGTCTTGTGCACGCTTCTGCCCACGGGAATGTAGAAAAGGCACTCTATACCTGGTTTTTATAAGTGATTGCGAAGAACATTCCGGTCGATAGCCTGATGCTGATCGCCAAGGCCAAATGGTTTGCCACTGCACTCAGTGAAACAACTTCACCGCCAACACCGGGTGGCTTTACCGATTTAAGCAGCGCTACAACATCGTTGGCAAAACCAATTCTCGCGAAAGCAAAGCTGTCAGTAGCCAGGACATCCAGCAGTTGAAGGCGAAGGAGTGGCCGGAAATCTCCGCGAAGGTTTCTCCCGCAGAGATCTTCAATGCCTGGCTAGACGTGAAGACGGACACAGTGGTCAACTGTTTCCGGAAATCTCCGCGAAGGTTTCTCCCGCAGAGATCTTCGATGCCTGGCAAGACGTGAAGACGGACACAGTGGTCAACTGTTTCCGCAAGGCGGGATTCAAGACAGCGGAACTTGCGAAAGCCGGTGAAGACAACTATGACAAGCGCATAGATGCTTTTCAAGAGTTGTCGTCCCGCTTCCCGGTAGCAGTTCTACATAAAGTGTCTGTGGACGACTTCGGGGAAGTGAACTGCAATGTCCAGGCCCACAACTCATGCAACAATCAAGGAGGATCGTCCGGAGGAGGGGCTGGCTACACGCGCTTACGCCACTGAAGTGGCGGCAGCATTCGGCATCATTCTCCGTTGTATTGGCTATATGGAAGGAACCGGGCTGTCTCACCTGGACAGCCTTGATAAGATCGAGACGAGCGTCAACATTTCAAAAACGAAGAAGAAGGCCAAGATTAGCAATTTCTTTTTTCACGCAAATAAGTCATTTTGTTGCGGAGTGTGTGCGGAATCAGTTGTAATTCTTGAATCTGCATGTTGTAGGTGATGATCCGCTACAGGTAAGCTCTATTTGTTTATCGAATTTTTTATATATCGAACTAATTCCCGATCTCCTTCAAGTTCGATATATTCATATTCGACTGTATGCCGCGTGTTAAAGCCTGCTGATTGCGCATCAAACATACCTGTGCACTCGCAAGCGCTGCGCAACGAAGCAGCTCAGCGCGATGGAATAACATTGCCTGTTCATCACCTGCATGCGAACAGAGATCGAAACTTTTTAGAACACGGTCAAAAATTTATCATTATTGATCGGAAGAAATTGCACTTCTAGGGCTTTGGCGCGGCACAGCGTTCGATATAGCCAATGTTCCGCTGTGCGGAAGTTCGATGTATGGGTGCGACAGTCCCATATTTTTGCACGGGAAATTCAAGGGCTTTTCTCAGCTCTTCGATATAGCCAATAATTTGATATATTTGAGTTTGATATATCCTGGATCGACTGTACAGTAAAACCTCAATTATCGATTTTTGGTTTTATTTCTTTTTGCTGAAACGGTTGAGATCACAAACTGAAATGGGTGACATCACATTATGCCTTGCTGTGGTGTAAACATAGTACAGTCGACTTTCAGTAAACGGAACCTGAAGGGACCGGGAAAATATGTTCCATTTAACAGGATTTTCGTTTACTGAGAGGTGAACATGGGTGCAGAATGCAAACCCGAAACCAAGCATTGCAGAGGCAGTAGTTCTGTTTTAAGCAGTAGTTCCTTTTAACAGATTTCCGTTTACTGAGAGTCTACTGTACGTGTAATTGTAGTGTTTGAAAAGTAATGTTGCCGATAGGCACTGCATTGAGCTCTGCCAGACTTGAACTTGACAACAAGAATTTCAGTGGCTCCTTTGGCTCTTGGAGTTATATAATGGAATAGATGGAAATTTGTCTCTCCTTTACTTGAGTCGAATGCATATGTTTGGTATGTTCAGAAAATACATACCAAAACAAAAGTGCAGTGTTGCCAGCATTCCTGTCACGACCACTGTTAATATGCTACACATACATGTTTCTGTGTTAATGAACCTAAACAATTTGAAGTATGATAAATTGGGATCTATGAAAAAATGAGTATGGCACACAATATATTTACAGTGTGATTTGATAGCCAATATTGCATGTGGGCGAAAGTGAGGTAGCACTGAAATGCCCCTTGTGGCTTCTATTTAAAGCTCATAAAAGTGCCACCTGACATTACCACAACATGGAACTTCTTATACCCCTGTGACCAGGCCACCATCAAACTCTCTCAGAGAAATTCCGTCAATGTAAATCTCCCTTTGGGAGTTCAACGGAGATGGAGTTGTGACAATGTCACACGGCAATGACAAAGTTGTAATAGTTGCCACAAGGGGCTCAGCTGGTGCTGTTTGATTTTCTCAGAAATATCTTAATTGCATCTCTAGTTGCTTTTCTTGTGAATCTTCATTGTGCAGTTTAAAAAATATATATTAAGTATGTCTGAAGTGAACTAAGGATTTTAAAAAATTATTTCAATCGAGAACGCATTTTCTAAATGTAGCAATGCTGGCCACCTTGTGCCTAAAATGTTTGTTCACAATTGCGCCGTCCCGTGCTCGACAATTAGTTGTTTTGTAGCCCATGTGTGAAAATTGTTGCAGTTATGCAAGTGCTGCTCCAATTGCTCTAAACTGCTCCAAAAGAGAGATGCTGCTCCATGCTGCTGCAAAGTGCAATATTTGCTAGTAACTGCTCCAAACCTGCTCCAAAATGGCGTTCGCAAGCTAAAAAAAAATGAAGTTGAACCATGGGACCATCCCGTGAGCATAAGTGAAACCAAAAGGAAGCTGTATACACTACCATCCTAGTATGCTACTCAATGGCATAAATCCAGAAAAATCTCAAGGGGTGACATATATCAGGCCGTGGTGTCAAATTCGTATTTTAATAAGGGTTTTATTTTTATTTATATAGGAAATAAATCATGCTTTCAAGTAAAATTTGGAAAAAAACTAGCATAGGGTCTGAGCTCGAGCAATTTCATTGTTCTATTCAGTCTCTTTTTTTTTCATCTTTTTTCGGTTTTCATAGTTCACACAGCTGAGGGGCATTTAACACTGGTACGCAGTAAAAGATAAAAAGCTTTTTAAAAAGTTGATTGTGCTACACTTAGCATTTATTTCAGTTATATCATGTGCTAAAAAACTAAATCTCAAGTGGGACACTTTTAAGGGGTGTCCTCCAAAGCCTGAACACCTGAAAAGTCCAGACTATGCACAATATTCTGTGTAGTATGTGCGAAATATTGTGAACATAAGTATTTGTAGATGAGAATGTCCCTTAAATTGTCAGACTAAAGTACTGATAGCATTTTTTTAAAGTACTTCGATATTGTTTTCTGTTCTAGCTCCTGAAACATTGATGCGTGCGCTAGAGCTCCTCAACTACCTACAGTCCTTGGATGACAATGGTGAACTCACTGAATTGGGATCCATAATGGCAGAGTTCCCCCTAGATCCTCAACTAGCGAAGATGTTAATCACGTCATGTGAATACAATTGTTCCAATGAAGCCCTCTCCATCACTGCTATGTTATCAGGTATGGAATTTCGGTGAGCTTTTACTACTTTTGAGAATGTGTAAAGTAAACTTCTAAACACAGAATTCAATTACAGCGATTGTTTTATTCTAGGAATGCAGGCTTGAGCATCTGTTTAAGGAGATCACAAACATGTGCCATGGGAGAGATTTAGGTAGCTGTTAGGTAGATTTGTGAGCTAGCTGTGTTAGCTGCAATTTTTTCTGCTTGTCCTGCTACTGGTCAAAATTTTTTCTGAAATTGAGAGATAAATTCTCAGCAAGGCAAAATATTTTGGCAAAGATAAACTTTTATTTTCAAATATGCCTGGAATTGACGTTAAAAGCAAGATAATGTACAATTCGAACTGGAACCAGCTGGCATGACCTTTATACAGAAGTGGAAAGCAGGCATGCCATGGTGCCATTGATGGAGCTTTTTTTCCCCAAATTATTATTATTATTATTATTATTATTATTATTATTATTATTATTATTATTATGTTGTAACCAATCATAGTAGCAATGAAGTGGTCTTGAGTGTTTAAGAATTACCAATTGTGCAGCAAAGTACGGTCAAACCTCGTTAATACGTACCTGCTTTAAACATACTAACGGCTAAAACATAGTTGTGATGAATCCCCGACCATATAGATTAGGGCTTTTCGTGACTAATTAAGTCACTTCCTACGCCTACCTGTTAGTACGTACCAGCTGCGCACAGCGATCACTTCTTGTGCCATAAAAGTTGACTGCGTCGCTGAACTTTCGACGCCGCAACGTGCCGCAAACAGTTTTTTGTTGTTTCAGAAAGTGCGAAGATCGGTCGGTCAATTGTTACAACTTCCGCGTGATTGCGGTGGTGCCTTTGCGGGTAATCATAGGGAGAGATCGAAGGTGTGGTGGTGACCACCAACAAATGCACCCATAAGACTTACCTTCGACAAAAAGCCTTATCACGCTAACTATCCTCAACATCCCCTGAGCATGCTTGTAGCGTGGCGCCACTTTAAGCCTACTGTACGCTTTTAATAGGAGGAGACTACCTCAACGTGTTAGACAGCCTATCGCTGCAGCCTCTTTGTGCAGGACCGCGATCATGCACACACCGCGTTTGCAAAAACAAAAGCAGCTCGCTATCGCGGAGTTGAGCGTTGTGGGTTATAAGCCTAGAGAAATTCCGGTGCATTGTTGGTATCGCGCTAAGCACGCGCATGCAGCACAGTGAGCGTAGTGCTGTGGTAATCATTTTGCATGCTTTTACCGTTAAACGTTAATATAAGAGGCATGCTCCGGGCAGCAGTTCTTGTCTTTTATATGAAATGTATAAGCAGGATACCTTGTATGCATTTTTTTATCAACTTGTATTTTACTGTAGGCACACTGGTGTCTCTTATCCCCATTTGTCTCTTAAAATCAGTGCCTCTTATAAAGGGGTTCGACTGTATTAGGCAGCAGCCCAAGCTCACCTCCATCCGCAGTCAGGACAGTTATAGTCATCGCCGTGTTAACCCAACAGGCTACTCACCGCATATATGCATTCTGAGCTGAAATGGACGTACTGTACAGCAAGTGGCTCGCCAGTCACGGCGAGTGTCGAGAAGGCTGCATGCAATTAGCCAGTAGACGATCGGCTGCATGCAACCGTACCAGGGTATAGGCTATTTTTGCTAAGTATGCAGATCGCGGTACGCATGTATCACGGACAGCCAATTGTATATTCGTTCTGCTGGTGTGTCAGTCACTGCATTTCTTGGGCACGCATTCCTGTATAGTTTTAAAATGCTCCTTGGCATCTTCACCTCATGCTATCAGACTGTCGTGTGAGAATCTGAAAATCTTTTCTACATTTTGGTAAAAAGAAAGAAATAGCTTTGTGATTGGCGCTGTAGGCATATGTGCTGTACCACTGCACTCATTTCGTTGTTGGCGGCAATGGGGCTTGCAGGAATTTGTACTTGCTGGTTAATGTGTACTACGATTAGTGCATAGCTATTCCGCATTCCCATGCAGGTACGTCAGGGGAATGCGGAATACTCTTCGCAATGGAGGTCTGTTGTAATGAGCTTCTTCTGTATGTATATCACGGCATGTGTAGTACATACTTTACAGCAAGAAAAAAAAGACTACACATCTTTTACTATGCTTTCTCAAAAATCATTTGGGAACAGCACTCCATTCGGAAATGATCTGGGGAATAAAAGTCTGTTTCATTGCATTAGTTTTAGTAAATATTTATTTCAGTGCATGGGAATGTGTTTGTGTAGTCATTCTGGTGTGGCTTTTTTGGAACTGACTGTCTCATTGTAGCTGAAAAACCTTGTAGAAATTGAGAGATGCGGGAAGTCTTCTTGAAGTTGGGGCATCATGTAGTGTATGGAATATTTTAGATGACATGAACCAATGTCACAGTACTTTGTGGCCAGGTCTGCTTCTGCAAGAAGCTTTAGAAGTGCTAAGGTGAGGCAGAAGGGCATCTAAATGGGACCCTGGTGGGAGGTGTTTGGGGTGAGCCTAGTGGCACGAAACTAAGCAGAGGTGGATGTGGGGCTGCGTCTGTGCCCGCCTGCGGCCCCCCCCATCCGACACTGTTCAGTTCCGCAGTGCTTTGTGCGCCCCAACGAGGCCAAAAAGGCTGCTGACGAGTCCAAGATGCGCTTCGCCCACATTGATGGAGACCACCTGACCCTGCTGAATGTGTACCACGCCTTCAAGCAGAGTGAGTTGATTTGACCTACTCATTCAGAAATTCTAGCTATTATAAGTACCGTATTTACTTGTGTAATGAACGCACTGGCATAATAAATGCACCCTCCACTTCAGTCATCAAGATTTGGATTTTTCTTTTCCCGCATAATAAACGCACCCCATACATTCGTCCGCTGCAGTCCCACTAACCGACACCTGGCACCTCCTTTGCTCATTAAATCACTCCTGTTTTTTATTATTATTCCAACCCACCCCTCGGCCACCTCTGCTCGCTCCTTCCCCTTTGGCGCGCCGTATAGTTTTTCTTTCTATCATGTGCAATACCCTGTCTTTTTTCAATATCTATGCGCTGCAGCGGGATTCACGAAGGATGCGATTGTAGAGAAATCGCAGCTGACAAGCACAGAGCGAGCGTAGGTCACAAAACTTCCCGCGCCAACGGACGACCGGCTTTTTGCAAATATGAAACTTTAAGGCCCAACCACATGCAAGCAATTTTCGAGCGACGACACGATTTGCTAACGCGAAGGGCCATTCGTCGCCATCGCATCACAGGTTTCTGGAAAACCAGAAACCGCTTTTCACTCAGAAAAGATCGTGACTATTTCTGCAACATGGTCTCTTATTCTCGCTTTAGTTGCAAGCGAGACGGCCGCCGTATTCTGTCGCTAATCTTGTGATTAATGGTTTGTTTTGATGCTTCGGTAGTAGCTTGCTGCAATGTTGGTTGCTTGCTACAATGTCAACAGCGGCGTCCCGGTCGTCATGCGAGGTTGCCACAAAGTTGGCAAAATACGTCATGGCATTGTAGCGCACGCTTATGAATGCCCCTTAAGATCGCAGCAGATACCACTGTTGTGGTTAAACGATTGCAAGGAAAGATAGCCGTGAAACGCTTTTATGGCGTGCACAGGGTGGCACGGGAACAGTTTGCTGAAGATAGCACCTTCAACCACCAAAGATGAGTGAAGTGTAACAAAGCTGAGCGACCTCACTTTTTTTTTTTCGCATTACTGAATTTTATTGCTCATACAAAAAGTTGTCATAAAATTTGCCCCGAATAAGAAACGCACCCCGAACTTTGCTCCGATTTTTTTTAGAAAAGGAAGTGCGTCCATAATGCAAGTAAATACGGTATTCCCTCAAGGGTCTTGTGCAAACTTCTGTACATGTTTCTTTTAAACATCTGCGGTTCAAGAAGTTGGATTTAATTACAGTTGAACCCCTCAATAACAAAAGCTCCCAAGAATGAAATTTTTGTGGCAATGAAAAAAACCTGGCATCCCCGACAAATGTCCCTTGAGTTCAAGGCATTTGCTCCCTCTCCCCAGTGAAAAAAATATATAAAAAGCACTCCCACACTAATGAAAGTTTCAAGTGGTCATCCGCAGCATGCTTTTTTCTCAACCGATGAGCTGCTTGGGAACCCAGAAGTTCAAAAATAGCGGCAATGGTCTTTAGATAAGTTGAGCACATACATTTTTGCCAAGAAGCATCAGTACACTGTGTTTACATGCAATCAGATGATAATAATAGCAGCACCTTTGTTGGCAACTACATTGGCACGGGACATTTCAAGTGACAACTTTGATGAAAGTGATATTTAGCTGACGGTCATTCTGTAGATGGCCTATCCACTTACTGCCGCACGTCTCTTCGTGTGCACACCTAAATCCCTCTCTCTTTATGTGCTGCGGTGTTCCTTTTGGAAAGATTCTTCCTTCTGTTGAAAAGCTCAAATTTTTCACACTTCAGGAGAAGTCTAGGCTCATCGTCGAAGCTGTGAAAGTCAGATATTGCAGATGAATGCACATCCTGCGCAGCTCGTTGTCGGCAATTGTCAAGTTTAGAGAGAGCATAATGGCTGCACTTAAGCGCATGTGTGACTTATTTAAATTTAATTGTGCAAAGTAATTGGTGTACATTTTTTTTGTGAAAATGAATTTCTCACAAGAATAACTGCCAAAGTGAATGTCGTTAGTTTATTTAATTTACTTACTCGCTGCTCACAATAGACCCTTTTCATAAATACGCCACCAGACCGTGAGCTTTTCGCCAGTTTCGCTTCGCAAAGGAGCGTGGGATAGCTAGTGCCATCATAAGGGTATGAAAAGCAAGCTGTCAAATGAGCGAGTGCAGTTCTCCATATCATCCGCTGCGATTGCACAGCTTTCTAGCTTGAACAAGCTCCTAGTACTCTCCTATAAGATTTCTGAGCTGCTTCCGCTGCACAATCAGCAATATTTTGTGCCCTTCAACGTGTTGGACGAGCAGTTTGGCTTGTTATGACTCGCAATGCATGGATCCGGCCTGCAAGAAACTCTCGTCGGCGTGCCCTCCTGACGCGGTCCGTGTCCTGCAGGAACGCAGGAGGTGTGTATGTGCGCAGCAAGAAACGCGCATCAGCGTCGCTGAGACACACAGCCTGCGCCGTCTACTGTGGTGCCTTCACAATGGCGGCAGACTGTAGTTCGCGTCTGCGGAGCTAGGGGCGCCCTTTTTCGAAAAGCGTCTATTGAAGCCTGCCCCTCCCCTTCCTAAAAAAATAATACAGTCAAATCTCGATAATTCGAACTCGAAGGGGCCCAAAACTTTGTTCGAATTAAAAGGAGTTCGAATTAATGAAAGCTAAATAAACAGAGGAATCTCCATGCAGTGGCGCGTGTGCATTGAGCTAACACACGAGGGGGAAGTTTAAGAAGACTTACATTTATTCACAAATCACAGGACATCCGTTATTAATTGAAGTAATCGGTGATGCGCGTCTGCACACGTTTGCCTTGCAGCGAGTCAATTCCGCACGCAGCTTGCAAAGCATTTCTACTTCGGCTTCAGCATTCTCCTGGCAAGAGAAGTTGCGCGCGAAAATGTCCAGCGCCGACACTTTCTAAAGACGACGACAACAACGACTGCGCAGCAGAGCCTCTCGGCTACGCATCCGCAGCATGGCCAGCATGTGACGAGAAAGGAGCGTCTCCACGTGGAGAGAAGCAGATCGGTATTTCAGAGAAAACCAACACTCCGCTGCAGCTTTTTTATCTCTCTCTTAGCGCACGTCGTTGAAAGGAGAACGGTTACGTGGCAGGGGAGGGAAAGGGAAGCGTGGCACCAGCGTGTAATAGGACCCCCTCCCCCCTTCCCAAGGCGCAGAGCCGTGCTCCCGCAAGGGACTAGGGCTGCAGAAGATAGCATCATTTTCCTTTTCTTCGACCACACAATCATTCAACCCAGTGACGGCTTTCTTTTTTTTTTTTTCCTCTCTCTCTCTTCGCCTGCAGCGTTGAAAGGGGTGGGGTCTTTATGTGGCAAAGACGGAAAGGGGAGAAGCGTGACACGGGCGCGTTGCAGATCGGCATTTGAGAGAGAGCAAACATTCCACCGCAGCCTTTTCTTTCCTTTTCGTTTCCTTCAAAGGCAGCGTTAAGGTGTTAACGTGTCGCAAATGCCGCCGCGGGATCGGACGGGGTGCTGAGAGTATTTTCAGAGCACGGTATGTTCAAATAAACCGTCAGAAGTGCTTGGGCGTTCGAATTACCGGGCGTTTTCACCCATTGGAATACACATAGCTTTGGCGGGACCTCATCGTGAGTTCGAATTAAGTGTGTTCAAAATAATGAGATTTGACTGTACTTTGCTTTATTTCTCAGAGTTGGCAGGCAACTTTACAATCATTATTTGTTTTATTATTACAAGCTGCAGGGCAGCAAGAAAAGTGCTGTACAATAAAAATTGTTCACTGATGTCCTTTTGTTAGCATGATAGAGTTCACATATGTTCAATATTTGCGAGATGTACATTTGGTGATCATGCACCAGGGACCAAATTTCATGTTAGCTCCATTGCATATTAAACATGTGCATTCACTACTGCATTTGCAAGTTTGTTTTGTATCTTGTTGGTTAACTTTTATCTCTGGTGGTTTCTCTTCTTGTAAATTAAAGGTCAACCCGGCGATTTTTTGAGGCCCGTGGATCTTAATGAGATTTACTGAATTGTCCCTTGCAAACTTCAATAATTTATGTTAAATGAGAGACTAAAGTGAAGGGTAGACATTTCTCAAAATAATTTTTGTTGTTTACCTACGCATGCACGGCAAAGTATGCTGTGGATTAGCTAGCAACAGTGATGGCAAGCAGTAGTGTCAAGGAATACCGTGTTCAGTGCCTGCTTTAGTGTTCATTTGCCCTCACCATTGGCAATCTCAGCACTGGCCACATCAGCATGATTTGTGTGCCTTCCGAGCTTGTACACTCCTGTGTGTGACACAAAGTGGTAATGTTCAGTTTGTTTTCGTTAGTGCTTTTTTTTTTTTACAAAACAGGTTACTTTTTAAAATTAGCCAAGTATTTCTAATATCTGATGTCATACACTTGTGAGAAGAGACTTGGGAGCTTGGGTTTGCCATGGTATTGGTGTGGTACAACTATTTACAGAGGTGGGCTTTGAGAATATTTGGTCAAAATATTCTGTAATGTTTGAACAGCTTTAGGAGCTTGCTCGACAAGCTTTTAATGCTCGTGCTTGTCCAAAGGCCGGCGTGTACACTTGTGTTTCTAGTGTACATTTCTCCTGTCACCACTCACAGCGTCGTCTTTGGGAATTCCAACATTGCCCACTAGATTGCGGGCCACCACCCAAGGCGTCAGTTTTCCGATAATTTCGAGAATGCTCACTACAGTAAAACCTCGTTAACCCGGATCTTACGGGATTGGTGGAAATGTTCGATTTAAGCGAATTCCAGATTATTCTCTTGGAGCGGGCCAGACTGTGGAAGAGGACGAAGTTGAGACAGGCACGCGCGGTGATAAGGCACAGCTTGGTCTCCATGACAAAGAAACGGGTCGTCTCTGCCTAATGTCTGCGTACCGGTTATTTTGTTACATGGACCATCAAAACAAAAAGAAAACATACTCTGCATAGACAAACCTTTATTTCATTAAAAACTGCATCAACTTTGTCTGGCTCGTCATCGGAATTAGTGCTAGAAGGATCTTCAATCCCATAATGTGA